GTAGTAGTAGTAGTAGTAGTATTAGTAGCAGTAGTAGTGGTAGTAGTAGTAGTAGTAGTAGTAATAGTATCAGTAGTAGTAGTAGTAGTAGTAGTAGTAGTAGTAGTAGTAGTATTAGTAGCAGTAGTAGTGGTAGTAGTAGTAGTAGTAGTAGTAGTAATAGTATCAGTAGTAGTAGTAGTAGTAGTAGTAGTAGTAGTATTAGTATTAGTAGTAGTAGTAGTTGTAGTAGTAGTAGTAGTAGTAGTATTAGTATCAGTAGTGGTAGTAGTAGTAGCAGTAGTAGTAGAAGTAGTAGTAGTAGCAGCAGTAGCAGCAGTACTAGTACTGAATGTAGTACTCAAATTAGAAATATAAACCGGGGCAGTAGTTGTAGCAGCGGTTTTTTTTCTACGTTGCATATGGCAAAACTAAACAAATTTGAAATTAAGCCACGATAAACTAAACCCCTCTCTTCTCTCTCTCTCTCTCTCTCTCTCTCCTATATATTTTGTTGTGTTTTTTTGGTCTGCTTAGTGGTTTTTTCTACTCTCCTATCTTTAGAATCTCTCTCTCTTTTTCTTTCTTTCGTTCTCTCTCTTTCTCTCTCCGTTTCTTTTAACAATTTCTCTTTTTTTTCATCATTCGGCTTTTTGTTTAACTCGACTCAGTTTACATCTCATTGTTTTTTTTTTTTTAATAATTTTTTATTATTTTATTTTCTATCTCTTTTTTTCTCTCTCTCTCTCTCTCTTTTGATCTTTTTCTCTCTCTCATTTTTTATACTACTCTCACTCACTTTTTTCAAGTTCACCTATTTCTTGTTCGTTTCAACTTTCCACCCCAGTAATATCTCTCTAATATTCTTTGTTTCCCTTTCTTTATCTCTCTTTCTCTCTCTTTCTTCCTCTCTCTCTCTCTCTCATTCTCTCTCAATTTCAGTTGGCTGGAAAATAAATTTTTCTATCTTAGTTTTTTTCCCAACTGTTTCCTGCGTCCTCTCTCTCTCTCTTCTCTCTCTTCTCTCTCTCTCTCTTTCTCTCTCTGCTGTTTATCTTTTTTCATTCCTTTTCATCTTTCTTTATTTCCTTCAGTTACTCTCTCTTTAAAATTGTCCACCGCCACTAGCAGAAGCATTATTGGGCGGACATCACGTGACGTATCCAAATGACCAATGAAAATGGCCGCTATGGTAGTAGTAGTAGTAGTAGCAGCAGCAGCAGTAGTAGTAGTAGTGGTGGTGGCGGTTGCGGTAGTAGTAGTTATAGTAGTAGTAGTAGTAAATGTGGCGTATTACCCACACCACACACGCTCTGTATGCACGTTCAAGCGCCGCATCATACGCTCAAGATGGTCTTTCGAATTTCGGACAGACAGTATTCGAACCAGGCCATCGCCTAAAAGCGGCGCGAGACGTAGCGCTTCTACTGTCTGAGCTAACTCGGTGACTAATGATAAATAACTATCACAGTAGCTGTAGTATTTTCAAATGTATTAGTAGGATGTGTAATTACAAGAAGTAGTAATTGTACTGGTAGATGAAAAAATGTTAGCATTAGTATTGTAGAAGAAAGTTTTTAATATATAATAATTAATGTAACATTCCTAAAAATTTATTATTCTTTAAGATAACACTCCTCATCATCCAAATCACCACCACCTCCATCCTCATCAGAACTCACCCACGCAAACACCCTCCTCCATCTGGTATCCCCTGGGGCAGAGGCACATCCCTACTGTGACGTCACAGCCCAGTGGTGGGTCGCAGATGGGGTAGTGAAGAGAGCAGGAAGAGGAAGAAGATGAAGTGAGTGGTAAATTGGGGTGGATGTTTTGGGGGTAGACATCTGATTTGTATGATAATGAAGATGAAGATGAAGATGAAAATAACAATCAAGATGTCACACACACGCTTACACACACACAAACATGTATATGTAAATATATCATGTTGGTATTAAACCCTTAACGCCAAACATTCGGTAGAATTTATAGAATATTGTAAAAATTATACTCTATTACCAGCTTCTACTCGGAGTTCTGCGGCCAACCAATTTAATCTAACAATCGACTGCTCCACCTCTCCCGAGAGTTAGAAATTAAAAAGAATGTAGTTCAAGTCTTGTCGAATTAACGCCAAACATTCGGAAGAATTTATAGAATATTGTATAAATATATAACTATATATATATATATATATATTGTATATATACATATATATACATATTATATATATAAACACATATGCATAAATGTTTGCCACACAAAATATTATTTTGAAGTATCAACAATATATTTTACGAAAACATGGAAACATATAGGGCACAGTGGGCGCACTAACCATAAGCAGATAGGGTAGACAAAGATGACGTAGACGATGACGTCAGAGAGGATGAGGATGATGATGATGATGAGGAGGGTGATGATGATGGTGATGATGGTGATGATTCGCTGAATCTTTCATCAACAATTTCGTTGGCATTGTTATTAACGGAGAACACTTTTATTGTTTCTGTGTGTGTTCCGACATCGGATTCATAATTATCATCATCATCATCAGTATCGTCATCGTTATCGTCAATACCATTCTTATTCCTACTATCATCATCATCGTCATCATCATCGTCATCATCATCACGTTTTCATCGTCATCACAATCACCGCCCCCATCATCATTATAATCAACATCAAAACGTCCGAACTAACCAAACCGGAAGTGGAGCGGCAAAATAATTATGACGTCAGCTCTCGGGTTGCTAGGCAGGCAGCTGCGTATGGCAACGGAGGCAACTAAGCAGCAGCAACAGCAACAAGACATGAAGGTCATGGTCGAAAACAGAGTGTGTGGTGGTGAGGAAGCTGAGTTGGTGGTCGGATGCTGTTGATAATGATAATGTTGTTGTGGCTGTTGTTGATGTATGTTGTTGTTGTTTTTGTTGTTGTGAATTTGTTCATGTTGATGTTGTTGATATTTGCTTTTGTTGGTGTGAAGTTGTTGATGTTGTTGTTGGTTGTTGTTGTTGATGTTGTTGTTGGTGGTGATTGAAATGTTATAGTTAATGTCGTTCTGTTGTTGTTTTTTTTTTGTTTACGTCATCACCGTATCATAAAACATCCACACGATCACGAATCACACCGAGACCTGAGTTTAGCCAATCACTTGAATGCGTTTTTATATTGTTTGTTGTTTCCAAAACATAGAAATATATAGAAAACTTCAATTGTATTTCGATTTTCAATTTAAAATTCACATTTTCAGTAAGCATGACGTCGTTCTGGGTGGAAGAAAATTTTTGACTGAGGCTAGTTATATTCATGACTTGACTTGACATGCCACCTCTGAAGCCGACTTTATGGCTACTTTGTAGCGACTTTGTGGCTACTTTGTAGCGACTTTGTGGCTACTTTGTAGCAACTTTGTGGCTACTTTGTAGCGACATTTTGGCTACTTCGTAGCGATTTTGTGGTGACATCCTGGCTACTGATTCAAAAGTTTAATGTCACTACATACGCCGACAAAAAAATTTTCTAAAACATACCCATATAAACACATGTGTGCACGCACACACACATAAAGAAACACAAACACACATACAAAAGAATATTTCCTTCTGCTCTCGACACACACTCAATTTTTTATATTCATTTTAATGGCTACGGCTACAATAATAACAACAATAATCACAACTATAGCAACAATAACAACAAAAATAACGTTAAAAACAACTGCAAGACAACAACAACAAGAACATTAATAATAACAACAACTACACAACAACAACTACACATCAACAATGACAGCGACAACAACAATAACAACAATGAAAACAACAATAGTAACATTAACAGCGATACACGAACAGCAATAGCATCAAGATTATTTATGATAGATAGTATTAAATGTCATTTTTGGTTGTGGTATTAGTAGTAGAAGCAGAAGCAGTAGTAGTAGCAGCAGTAGTAGTAGCAGTAGTAGTAGTAGTAGTAGCAGTAGTAGTAGCAGTAGTAGTAGTAGTAATAGTAGTAGTAGTAATAGTAGTAGTAGTAGTGGTGGTAGTTGAAAAAGTATCAGTAAGTAGAAGAAGTAGTAGTGGTGGTGGTGGTGGTAGTAGCAGTAGAGTTTTTAACGGTAGTTCATAATTTATATAAATATGAACCTCAAAAAAGAACTACCAATAGTAGTAGTAGTAGTAGATGTTGTTGTTGTTTCTGTTGTAGTAGTAGTAGTAGTAGTAGTAGTAGTAGTAGTAGCAGTAGTAGTAATAGTAGTAGTATTAGTAGTAGTAGTAATAGTAGTAGTAGTAGTAGTAGTAGTGGTAATAGTAGTAGTAGTAGTAGCAGTAGTAGTAGTATTAGTAGTAGTGGTAGTAGTAGTAGTGGCAATAGTAGTAGTAGTGGTAGTAGTTGTAGTAGTGGTAGTAGTGGCAGTATTTGTATTAGTTTTAGAGTAAGTGGCGCGCAATAAGTATTGTCGTTGCATTCCCATGTCAATTCAGCGTGCATTCGACAATGAAGTTTTTTTGTTGTTGTTGTTTGTGGCGTTGTTTGTAGTGTTGTTTGTGGTGTTGTTTGTGGTGTTGTTTGTGGTGTTGATGTTGCTGCTGTCGTTGTTGCTGTCG